TACAAAGTGCATTTATGTGCTATTTATAAAAAGCGATTGTTTCCATAAAACAGTCAGGTGATATTTGTAATGGAGAAGCAGTGTTTGTCTGCGAGGTAAGGTAAAAGATATAGTTTTCCCTGTGCTTAACTAATTAAGAACTATGTAATGAAAACGTATGGGGTGGGTGGTTGTATAGAGCCACGTTTTCTCGACCTCGGCACTGGCTGTGAGTGGTCAGGTTCACGCCCCGGCTGCTTTACCTCCGGGGAAAGGACCCCCGATACCCACTGGATAGGAGGCTGGGTGGGCCCCAGTGTCGGTCTGGACGACATGAAGAAAGGAACTTTTGACATCACCGGGACTCGAACTCCAACCCTTCGATCGTCCAGCACATAGTTGTCTGTAAGACATGAACCGGATTTTTAACTATTATTTGACGCATTTCGGTGAGTTAACCCGCAAAATGAAGCAGCCATGTCAATGTATTGTCTAGCTTTACGTTAAGATCTTTCCCTGCATTCTGATAAGGAAGTACGGTTTTCTCTTCTAACGCATAATGGAAATGGGTGAGTTTGCTATGTTTGTATTGCACTCAATTAGTACTGATGAAAAGCTGATGTGTCCCATCCGAGATTCCTCGGACCTTCCAACGGCGTAGTCTAAAGCAAAACTGAAAAACAATGAGGATAAAACACCTATCCCCATTTTAAGCAGGATATAACACCGAATTTAGTGTAGACATTTATGACATCTAGGATTTGAGGTTCTCACAGAGTTACAGCCTCCTGGGATGTAGCGCTGTCTAGTCTCTTGAACGTAAATGAGTGTTTCGGAAGAACATGTCACCTCCACCTTCAGGATCTAAGAATAAGGCGAGCAAGAAACGAACGTGAAAGTAAGTGGCAAGCAGAGGGGTACCTTCTAGGACACTAGGTCCTTTAGTCCGCTGAAAGTCTGCTTGTCACCTGCCTTCACGTTAGTTTCTTGCTCGGATTATCCTTCTACCCTGAAAATAGAGGTGACATGTTCCTCCGAAACGACGGCTGACTTTCAACTGACTACATGGCGAAACACAAAACTCCTTTTAATACATATTTTAACTCTTCCAACTGGTTTTACTGGAATATCGAATTATTTCTATATATGGACTTAAATTTGAGAAAGAAACCAGTGAAATGTTACATTTGGAGCATGGCTTTGTATGGGGCTGAAACTTGGACACTTAGGGCAGTAGATCAGAAACACCGGGAAAGCTTCGAAATGTGGTGTTGGAGATCAGTTGGACCGATTATGTGAGAAATGAAGAAGTGTTATTTAGAGTCAGTGAGCAGAGGAATATCCTACAGGAAATAAGAAAACGGAAGGCTAATTGGATTGGTCATATCTTACGCAGTAACTGCCTTCTAAAATAAGTTATTTAAGGAAAGATAGAGGGGCGGATAGAAGTGACCAGAAGACGTAAGAAGATGCTGGATGACCTTGGGGACAGAAGAGGATACTCTCATTGGAAGGAGAAAGCTCTAGATCGCATTAAGTGGAGGAACTGTTTTGGAAGAGACTGTGGACCTGTCGTCCTGATAGATTACTGATGAATGAATAAACAGCGTCTTTAATAACTTAGGCCGCAGCATAGGCTCTTTGTGGTCGACTTATACTCAAATCAGCGACAGGATTGTACAATACTTTCTTCCTAAGCAAATCTTATAATTTCTTGTAGTTCATACATAACTGATGTTACTCACATATTTGCACTAATTTTAATTTGCAGTAATTTTAATGGGGAAGACATGAAGTGACGGTACCAAAGTAAAGATATAGGCGTAGAAGCGAGACTGACATTAAAGTGGGTATTGAATTAAATGGGAAGTGGGTATGTTCTTTATTCATGTCGATATCTCATGGGATATTCTGAAGAATGTAATGAACTATAGGCTTCCACAAAAGGCGGTAAATTTATCGAGTTGCTAAGCAATTATTAGCCTCTCAAGGAGACCTCGTCTTCCTGGTCTTTGTACTCAACACTGCTTCCTGACTGGGCAACCACATAAGATCTGGTGCATACTACGATATGTGTAGAAAAAGGTAAAAGTATCCCTGTAAGAGGCCCTGGAGGCCCGTAAGATTGTGAGGCGTCGAGGATCCTACATATGCTAGACAGTCGGCTCACAAATTGCGATGAGGCTGTCAACCTCACGCGCCGGGCGGCCCCTAGGACGTATTTACCAAATTTATCACCATGCCGCGCCACGTTTTGTGTGCGCATAATGAAACTGTGTGTTGCGAATCGTTAACATATCGTTTCTAGAACCTGTATACAAGAGAAGGAGGTTAGCGCAGCGGTGGTCCACTTGACTTCTGGAGGTGTTCTGTTCGATTCTTGGCCGGAATACCGGCTGTACATAGTGAAGTTCGTCGTGGTTTTATTCAGTCTATCCAGAAAAAACGGCACAGTACCTTGATTAGCCCATGAACTCTTCATTCCTAATGCATTCCTATTTATTATTCGTCTGTTATACTATCGTGGAGACGGGATAGCGTATTGGCTATAGCGACTGGCTACGGGCTGGAAGGCCGAGGGGTCGGAGTTCGTGTCCCGGTAGGGTTAAGACATTTCTCCTCTACACGTCGTCCAGACCAGCTTTGGGGTACATAGAACCTCCTATCCAATGGGTACCGGGGACTATTTCCCCGGGGATAAAGCGGCCGGGGCGTGAAGCTGACCACTCACCTCCAGCTAGTGCCAAAGTTAAGAAAATGTAGCTCCACACATTCACCCCCGATGCGCTTTCATGACGTAGCGCTTAATTAATCAATCACAGATAATTTCACCTGATCTTACCCGCTATCCTGTCAATTGATCCCATTCAATCTAGCTACTGATAGCGTCGTAAAACATCACACAATATAATAAGAATTCTTCACTACAGATTATGTTCAGAAATTTCGGGCTAATAAAGGGAACTTATGTTAGTTCGACTGTAGCCATTTCCAGTCTCACTGCTGGACTACACAGAGTCGACTAGAATCTGAGACTCCACTCTCAGTTCCTTGCATTATTCGTGAGTTGTACTTTCAATACTGTCAACACATGAGCATTCAGCGTTACGTGTCATATTGCATGGCAGAGCTCGGGGTTATTGTGCGTTCTAAGGAACGAGGTGCCGGCAACTTCTTACCCGTCCTTGTAATCAGCCAGTGAAGGCTTCACCTTCCTTCCTTGCCATGAGTACGTCTTTCGGGAGCACCGTTACTTACAGGGGAACATCTAATCCATTCTTTAACAACGAGAAGAAAAACATTAAAAAAACAAAAAACAAAATATGTTGGTGTTCACACAGTGACGGAAATCCACACTGCCATCTGAGCGATGTCACTATGTTGCAGGCTCGTAGCTGGGAACCTGCAAGTAACTGAAAACACAGACAGTACACAGTTACACAACAGAGCGTTCTAAGCTCATGCTTCTGTTACTGTTGCAAGAGTCACTCTGTATGCCAGTGTGCTGAGCGAATGGTTCGGCTGCTGTTACAACAGTCACCCTGTGTGCAAGTATACTGAGCGAATGGTTCTGTTGCTGTTACAAGAGTCATTCTGTGCGCAAGTATCCTGAGCGGATGGTTCTGTTGCTG